GAGCTGAAGGTCTGTGCTTTGTGTCAGCTGTGCCCTTCTCCACAGACCATTCCCAGGGCCTTCTTCAGGACACCAACATGGGAGAGTTGTACACTGCATTTGGGGAACTCAACAGGACAGGAGTAAAGTTCATGGACTGCAGGCTCCACCTACATGTGGAACACATTGCAAAGACTCACAGTCCCCTTTCGCCAGTGAGATGCAAGTCATTGCAACGGAAAAGTAGCCCTGAGTCTTGGATGTGACAGTGTTAGACAGATGTGACTTCAGGCTGTTAAGTACACAGAAGAGCCAGTGGGAAAATAACACAGGGTTAAGTACAAAGACAAATATTTGCTCCAAGATTAAGGGAGACAGACTAGTTCCCACAATCAGCATAAGTTAGAACTAAAAAGGAAAATATTTTCTCTTCAACATTGTAAATGCTTGGTGTGTTGTGGATAAACTGCTCAGCACTGTGTCTGCTGATGGACAATTTCTATCCTATCCCTTGGTCTCAAGAAAGCAAGCTGGATAGTATTTGTGCACCTTTCTGTAATACAAAACACATAGATAAATAACCAACCATCCAACCAAATGAAACAAAAACCAACAAAATCCAGAGTACTGCTCCTTTATCCAAACACTATTCATAGTGTGTCCCCCCCAGGTTCAGCTTGTCAGGAGAACATGACTAATACAGTGCTCAACACAGGGAAGTACCTAAGATTCATATCCTCCAAAGAAGCACTGCAGCTGTTTCACTTGGTGTCCTGTTACTGACAAAGCAGTGAATCACTGCTGCTGCCTAGTATCTTGAGTATTATACAACGCACCACTAGTGTGCAAACAATATATTTCAAAAAGTCAAACTAAATTTTCCATTAAATACTAATGGCTTTCCTTTTTATTCTGTAGTATTGGAAATTGAATTCAGGGCTTTGTGCATGTTTCACAGGTTACTTTAGGTTGGAGCTCTACAATGTATTTAGATCTCCCCGTCATTTATACTTTCTCTTGATCTGGGTCTTGCTCCTTCACCCAGGCTGCTTTCAGGATTACAACCTCCTGCCTCAGTGTACCAGTTGGCTAGGATGACAGGTGGATACAACTGGCCTCACTGAAGTTTCATCTAACCAAGTGTTTCAATGCCACCTTTAGGGAGAATCAAACAGGAAGAAAATGATAAAGAAAATGGTAATGAAAGAAATCCTATCTTACTAGGATTGCTGGTACATGCCTGTATTATCAGAACTGCAAGAGGCTAAACAAGATCAGAAGTTCACTGCAGCCTGGACAACTTGGTGAGACCTGGTCTCAAATTTAAACACAAAATATTGAAAAGTGTGGGGAATGTAATTCAGAGAAAAAGCCCTGAGTTCACTCCCGAGTCCCATAAAAACATCAACCACAACTTGCAATCTTTAGTGACATGGACAAATCCCTTCGCATCACACTTAGATGACCATATCGAACAATTTTTAGGCCTACAAGAAGACTATATTTTTAATTTCCAGTTTTTTCCTAAAAAACGATTAGGTTAACTGATCAGTGTTAACAGAAGACATATTTATCTAACTTTTACTGACTTCTTCACCTTCCTTCACACCCGTGATCTTTCAGGCAGGCTGAGAATGAGCCAGGGCACAACTGAGCTTCACACAAACAACAATCGGACTTCAGGGGTAGAACTTTTTGTACAGGTTTGGATTTTGTTGCCCTCTCTTCCTATTTGATTCTCCCTAAAGAAAAAAAAAAGCTTATCCCTAAGAATTCATATACCTGCAGACCTCACATTTAGAGCTATCCTAGTAGTTCTTTAATATAAAGCCCACCTCAATCAGCATTTCCATTTTTAAAACAATGCCTACAAATAGTCCAAGGGCTCTAGCACTAGATGAGATGACACCTCTTTCCTTTTCCATCATAACAAATCCCATGTAAATGTAGATGCTCAAGTTCAGTGAGTTTCACACAGTGCATTCAGTCCCTTCTGGAAGGAGTCCTTAGCAGGAACTCTTTCTCCCGCCTCTGCTAATACATTAACATCTCCTCCATTTATCTCAGCATTCTAAACTCCACGGGAGGTCTTCACTGATAGTCTATTTGTTACTAGATGTGACAGCGAAACAAGATGATCAGTTTTTGGCACTTTATGGAACACAGGCGTTCAAGACATGCAACAAGCGCTCCAGTACTGAGTCACATCAAAAATGAAGTTAACACTGCCTGCATTCTCATATCATTTACTATCCACTGTCATGACTATGGAAATGTGGGGATATACTGGAAATTTTGGAATTCACTCTACTTATGAAGGTGCAGTGACCTGGGAAGATAAACTGAAGGTTTAAAATCCCCTATCACAGACATGTATAAAATTGATATCCACTGTCGGCTGGTGCGAAGGGTGACAGCAGGGAACCAGTACAGTGCAGCTCCTTCAGAATAAACCCTGACCTGAAGCTGGGTCACCCCAATACACCAGTTCTCCCCACACACGTGGAGATGTGGCTGTGAGCTGGGGCTGCCTGAGACTGCACTCCCGGCTCGTGGGGTGGCTGTGGGAAGACGTACTCCAAACTAAGGCAGCCGCACCCAAGGCACGACGGACAGAGAGTGCACAGGGATAGAGACCGGGAAGAACGGAGACCCTGCAGCAGGCGGGGACGCTCAGGTCGGCCATTGCTGCTCCTTCCACTTCCGGGTTGACCTGCCTAACACCCCACGCCCTTCTGTCCCATCTCAGGACACCCATCCCACACTATTACCATTGCGTGGCTTGGGGGTCCTCCAGGGTCCTTCCAATGCAGGCTGCGCATAGTAGAACTCCTAAAGCAAGGCGTGTCGCTAGGAGAGCTGGCTCTCAGGAGCGCGCTGGGGGAACCGGGATTTAGCGCCAGGCAACAGAGCCCGCCTCCTTGGCCCCCTGATTGGACAGTTCGCACTGCCTGCGTTTTGAACACTGATTTGCTCCTGCTTCGTTGCCCTCCCTGGGAGTTGTGACAACAGAAAAACAGTTGCAAAAGAAACAACAAACAAATCCCTACTGGTGTAAGTGGAACTCAAATGGTAGATTGTAACCCCGAGGCTTCTAGATCAATTTCTCTCTCAGCATGCCGACCTAAGCTGCATTCCAGCAGTTTATTTCTGGCTCGGCAGAGCTGCCTCTATTTTTTTTATTTGATAGGGTCTCGTGTAATTTTCTGTGTTCCTAAACTCAATCTTGAGCCTAGAGCGGCCTTGAACTCCGTTATTCTCCTGCATCACCCTCTTCTCCTGTATTACCCTTTAAACCCTCTGCTTAGTTTAAAAGCGTGCACCCGCACTCCCCGAATGTCCTGACTTTTACAGGATTCACTGGATTTTTCCTGAGTGTTTCTCTTTAAAATGGGGTCACACATGTGAAGCCTCTGCTCCATATGCTAAAACAGTTCCAGAGTTAATACATTATGGACAAAGAACTGTGAGAGAATGCCAAGAGTCCAGGCAAGGACCAGACACAAGGACTTGAGGCGTGACCTTGTAAGAGGTGGAAAATATGCACTATGATAGTTGGCTTAATGCACAAGGCTTTCTCACATTGTATCTCTCAATACTCATTTTAAGCCAAGAAAAAGAAATATGTGCTATCTGAGAATACAGTTATTACATAAATGTATTTCCTGGTGTTGAAGAACAGAAACATAAAGACTTCAGATTCTAAACTTCCCGTGTCCTGTAATTTCTTCCTTACAAGTTGAAACGCCCCATCTTTCAGTACATTAATATTCCTATAAGGGAAATAATACCAGGAGTTATGTGATCCTCTTGATAAATATCTTGTTATGAGAGGTGAGTAGGACATTAGTAAAGCACACTTGTGTGTGGTTGAGTCATGGAGGTATGATCTTATGAACCATATCTTCTCCCTCTCCCCTCTTGTCTTGTACAAGTTTTGCTCTGTACTTCTTGCTTCTCATATAATAGTCGTCTTTCTTCATTGACTTCCACTACGATATTTCTCCTTTGGAGTGAAATAGCAACCATCTTTGATCTCTGAAACCAAGAGCAAAATAAAACATTTATTCCTAAGTTGTGTATGTCAGGTATTTTGTATGTACAGCAAAAATGTAATGGTGTCTGATAAAATTAGTAGTACAATAATGAAATTAATAGTAGATGTCTGAATAAGATTAAATACTAAAAGCATCATCAGTTTCTTTAGAAAATTATATCAATGAGATTTCTCCATGAGTGCTTTCCATAGATTTTCTTCCTATGAGTTTAGTTCACTTTGACTTTGGCAACTCTGCATGTCCAAACCACTTTCCAGGGAAAAGCTCTGTCTTGGTTACTTTTCTCTCATTGCTGGGACAAAATACCTGATGCCCAAAATTAAGGAAGGAAAGGTTTATTTTGCTTACAGTTTGTGGAGGTTTCAGTCCATACTTGGCAGATTACAAGGCAGAGTGGCACATGGCAGAGGGCTACAGCTCATGGCCGCAGAACACAGCAAAGCAACAAAACACAAAAGCTAGGAATGACCTCAAGCACCCTTTTTCTCTCCCTTACATATGCAAACTATCCACCCCAGGGCGGATGCAGCTCTCACACCCATAATCAAACTCTAAAAGCCTGCCCCATGGCCGCATGAGGCTTTGGGGGGACACACAGACATAAACCATAACAAGCTCATAGTAACCAGTACAAACCTCAGAGAAGGCAAAATCTCCAATACAGTTAACACATTAGTCACCTTCTTTGCTCTGCAGCTTGTGGTAGATATTAGTCCTTCTAGATTTTCCTGAGTAGCTGGAGGCAACACAATGTTCAGCAGCCTAGAAGGGTCCAGAGGGATGATCAAGGCTGTTCTTCATTAAGTTCAAGATATATCTCAGTTTCCAGTTGCTGGATTTAAGACTCCTCCTAACTACTCTATTCTTCTGGTTAACACCAATATTGATGAGTTATAGGACAACAATATACCCAACTCTAGTCTTTGAACATGAAGCAAGAGCATCCTTGCTTTATGTGCTTGTCAAATGAAGAATAAAACAAAAATTCTAAAATTCTGTTCCTTTACAACATGGAATAATTATAAGTTTTTGAGAAATAATGTGCCATGGAAGTTATTTCCATATGGCAAAATGTACAGAAAAATAGTTAATCAAATGTGAATTGCTCACTTTTTCTGTGTATTGGGGTTCCCTCACTATTCCAGTAGAATGTTGCAACAAGATTCTCTTTCCTGAAAGGTTTTACATATTCTGCTTACCTTTTTAGAATAATCTCTTGTCTTCCCACAGAACTATAGATGTATCTATTATTTTCTCTAGTCAAATCATAAGCGTCATATAAGTTGCTTCCTCTGTCAAAAAGCTAACTGTGCTAAATTTTAATCACATTCCTCTATTTGAAATTGTGTTACAGTGGCTATGGTGATATTTTGTATGTATTCAAGGGACAAGTTTATTGTGGCTATTGTCCCCAGCCTGTCACACCAGTGGAAGTATGAGACCACACATAGAATATTACATTACTTCTTCATGATTTATATATTATGGTACAAGTTCTTCAAAGACTGTTGAAATTTCTTAAGTGAAAATTTTGTGCTGTGTATCACAGGGAGATTTTTAGTGCCTATTGAACTGTTCATAATTTACTTGTATGGAATTAGGTGAAATCCAGTAGGCCCGAGCAATTCAGCAACAACAAGACTTGTAACAATTTATTTATTAGTAACTGACCACTGGGATGAAATGTTGTGCCCCATCTACTGAACCTGTGGAACAGGGAAAAATCCTTAAGACTCAGGTGATAATCCAAAACAAAACATATCAATCCTGTCAATATACTAGAAAATATTTCACTTCCAATGGCGAGTATCTTGTTCATTATATGATATTTAGCATTATCTGCAGCCTAAGGCCACAAGTAGCCAGTAAATCCCACAGCCTCTATATGTCATTCTTAAGGCAGGCTTATAGAATAGCAGACCTCTAGGCATATTATAACAAAAGTTATAAGTTAATTCATAGCCTGTGACTATGCTCAGGTTTCTTGACACATAGCTAGCCTTGACTGTCTAGGCCCAGATATTCCCCCTTAACAATGTGTGGGTCAAGCTGACTGTATCCACATTGTGTTTTAAAAATATGCAGTGATTCCAACTTGCATCAAGGGCTTCAAGGCCATCACGTTTTGGGGAAAACTGGCCCAGTCAAGGACACTTTCAACTCTACCTACTCTTCTCAGACCCCCTCCCTCCCGGAATGTTCCTGTAGAAACCTGCCTGACAATATATGACATAATGCTTGTATTCCCTGCAACCAATTACATAATAACCTGCTATCAGCTTTGTATTTCCCACTTGCAAACATTAAAACTGAACTAAAACCTCAGTCTGGGGTGGTGATTTGAACCTCTGGGTTCCGCCGCCCGCAAGTGTAATAAAAGTTGCCTTCTAAGTCCTCGGTGTAAAGAGTTTTCCATTTGCTTCAGATTGGTTTTTCTGCTATATCATGAGGAAAGTCTAGATACATCCACATGTTCCCTGAATTCCTAGTTCCTACTGATGGAGCCTAGCAACTGCAGTGGTCACCTGAGCTACCTGAATGAGAAAAAACACAGAATTGGCAAAAATTGTAGGATGCTTTTAAATCTTGAAGATTTTCCATTTGCCCACCTTTCCAGCCCAAACCAGGGTAGATGACTGTTTTCCCCACAGCCTCTCCAGCTTTTGATTTCTTGATAATAGCAAATCTTTCTGGAGAAAGATCACATCTCAGTGTTGCCTTAACTTGCATCTCACAAATGACCAGTGATGGCGATCATTTCTTTATATATTTATTTGCTGTTTCTACTTCTTGGTCTGAGAACTATCTATTTATTTCAGATACCTATTTTTGGATTGGGTCTTTGATTTTGGGGCAACTAATTTCTTTCAATTCTTTGTATGTTCCACATAGTAGTCCTTTTCTCTGAGGGACAACTTGCTAAATTTTTTGCCCACTGGTGGGTTGACTTTTTACTGTGTTTATAATTTCTTCAGCTGTGCAAAATCTTTTCAAATGGATGCAATACCAGTTGTTGATTCTTTGTAATGTTTCCTGTACAATCAGGGTTTCTTCATGAAATCTTTATCTACACTTATGTCTTCTAGAGCTCTACCTCTTCTCTCTTCTAGCAGATTTAATGTTTCTGTTTTAATGTTTAGATCTTTGATGCATTTTGACTTTAGTGCATGGTGAGAGACATGCATCGGTTTTGGGTTATGGCATGGAAATCCAGTTTTTTTTAGCATCATTTATTGAAGAGGCTATCTACCACTGAATGTGCTTGACCCCTCTGTGAAAGATAAGGTGCCTGAGTGTTTGGTATTATTTCTGCATCTTTTAAAAAGCTCCATTATTCCTCATATCTATGTTTTTTGCCAGTGCCATGCTGTTTTGACTGTGGCAGCCCTGTAGTATAATTTCAAGTCAGGGATTATGATGTCCCCTAACTTGTCTTTGATTTCTTTGACTGTTTTTGTTACTGTAGGTCTCTTCTGGTTCCAAATAAACTTTAGGAATGTTTTCTTTAATTCTGGGACATATGCTAATGGTATTTTGATTGGAATTGCATTATGTCTGTATAACAATTTTGGTCATTTTTACTACGTTGTTTCTTCCTACCCAAGAACAAGGGATATCTTTCCATTTTCTGACGTCCTCTTTGATCTACTTTTTCAGAGTAATGTAATTTTCAATGTATAGATCTTTTATTTCCTTTGTTAGATTGATTGTTAAGTATTTTTTTGATGCTGTTGTGAAATGTGTTGATTCCCTAATGTTGCTCTCAGTGTGCCTGTTGTTAATGTACAGGAATACTGTTGATTTTTGAGTATTGACTTTGTATCCAACTACACTACTGAATTCAGTTATTAAA